ACCTGTCACAAAGACACGCGCGCCAAACTCCTCCGCGAGATATACAGCTGGGCTGAGGGACAGGACGGGCGATGCATCTTCTGGCTGCGCGGCCTAGCGGGCACGGGCAAGTCGACAATCGCGCGGACCGTCGCGCGCCGCTACTACGACCAGCAGCGTCTTGCGGCCAGTTTCTTCTTCTCGCGCGGCGGCGGCGATATTGGCCACGCAGGCAAATTTGTCACGAGCATTGCGGTGCAGCTTGCACAAAATGTGCCAGAAGCGCATGTACATATCTGCACGGCTATGATAGAGCGCGGCAATGTTGCCAGCCAGACTTTGCGCGACCAGTGGCGACACCTCGTTCTCCGTCCGCTGTCGAAGCTGCGCGAGCCAGGGCCATACGTTGTGGTTGTCGATGCGCTCGACGAGTGCGACAATGAAAACGATGTCCAGATCCTCATACAGCTGCTGTCTGAGGCTCGGTCCCTAGACAGGGTCCGACTGCGAGTGTTTCTGACCAGCCGGCCAGAAGTGCCAATCCGTCACCAGTTCGGGCAGATGGCAGATGCGGACCACAAGGACTTTGTGCTGCACGACATATCGCCGTTGACAGTCGATCAGGACATAAAGTCGTTTATTACGGATGAGCTTCACTCACTCGGGCGAAAATTTTGTCTCCCCGCTGGCTGGCCAGGTGCGGAGGTGATTCTGCAGCTAGTGCAAAGCGCAAGCCGCCTGTTTATCTGGGCAGCAACCGCTTGTCGCTTCATCTGCGCAGGGAGGCAATTTGCAGCTAAAAGACTAGATACGATCCTGCGCAATGACAGCAATACTGCTGTGGCCCCAGAGAAGCATCTTGATCAGATCTATGTTACCGTGCTCCAGAACTCGGTGTCTGCAGACTACACAGAGGAAGAGAAGGAAGAGCAGTATAGAATGCTGAGGTACGTTCTCGGGAGTCTGGTGGTACTGCTGTCTACGCTATCCGTGCAGTCCTTAAGCAAGCTGCTCCAGTCTACAGATGAAGAGGTGGGACAGACACTATGGGACTTACACGCCATCATCAGCATCCCACAAGATCCCACCCAGCCGCTTCGTCTGCACCATCCATCGTTCCGCGACTTCCTCCTTAGCAAGAAGAGATGCAACGACGAGAACTTCTGGGTGGACGAGAGTAGCATACACGAGAAGCTAGCATCTCACTGCCTCCAGCTCATGTCTACGCCAGACAACCTTCGGCAAGACTTGTGCAGTCTGTCTGACCCTGGAGTGCTCAGGAGCGAGATAGACGAGAGGAAGATCACGACCAGCCTGCCTTCTG